GCCAAATCTTGACTCTTTTCATGGTATGTAAGGATATATCAACTGAACAATAGTAATGCTTTTGTAAACGAAATGTATTCATTGAAAATTTTTGTTTTAAGAGATGACTATACCAATCAGAGGTTACGATATCCCGTTGTCACACAATAAAATAAAAGATTGAACGATAATAAAATTAATAATAATAATTCGAATAATCCAATCCAATTAAAATTTTTTTTCTTTATCAATTTATTTTTTCTTAGTTCTTGAATATAGTGATAATAATAAATAGTAGTGGCTTACATTTTCCTTAAGTCATAGTACTAGCAACCATAGTATAATATAGAATATAATTATTGTTTATATTAACTTGTTAAAAAGAAATAAGACTATATTTTATAAATGAATAAACTAGTGATTGAATAAAACGGATAAAACGAATAAATTTTTTAATTCGTATTAAAGATTGACTGTATTACAAATAATTCGAATAAGAACTTGTATTTACAAATAGAAACCCTAACGAAGAATATGAATTTGAAGATTATGTGTATGATGCAATTATTAATACATTCTTTCCAGTTTTTTTTTGTCATTCTGTTCAATGTTTCAGGGAAAACTGGCCATTTCTGGATGACAAATTATACAACACAGTCGTTTGAGTGATTCCGCTGGTTGTTTGGCCTACCGAGTATAAAGATATTTTCAATCGTAAACATGGGTTTGCCAGTAGTTGTGATAATTAGGTTTAAAACCAAAAGTTTTTTGGATTCTTTCTTTCTATATTTGTATTCTTAATATTTTTCAGTTATAGTCATCCCAACATTCTGGATTGTTATTATTACGACAATAATACTTTGTCTTGCGGTGTGTTATAACTCAAAGAGATCGGAAAAAGTAATTGAATGGAAGATTGTTAATATATTACTTGTTTCTGGGTGGTTTATCTCTCAAATATTCTGCAAACATTATTGATTGTGTTAAAATGGCCAATCGATTTTTACTTTGTCAAGGCATTTGTGTTTATACTAGTCCTCTCTTTAACAAAAAATGTGTTCTTCTTAACAGAGAAGGAACCAGCATCCGGTGACTTTCTGGCTACTTCAACAACATTGATACAATGTGGCCTGCACGGTATAATAAATCAAAAGCTAAAGGAGAATGAAGAAAAGTGAGTAAATAGAGGAATGAAAATGAAAAGGGTAGGTGATGCAAAAATCAATGGCTGAAATGAAAGGAACAATAACGAAATTGCGTGAAAAGGTGCCACAATAATAATTTTGTTGTCTTCTCCTTTTTTCTCATTTGGCGGTAAAGCGGAACTTTTAAATTTTTTATTTGACCATATTTGCCTTTCCTTTTCAGGACAATTTCTATTTCCTCATTACCTTGAATTAAAGCACTTTTAGCAATTTCATCGCCGTTGCTGGTTCATTTTACTTGACAATTGCTCTTTATATTATAAGTATTTCATTTTATGTTTTATTATTTTGATATAAAAGTCAACTTCTTTTTGTATACAATTGATCATTGTGAGATTTGCTATTTCCTTTTTTTTATAATAAACCAGAAAGTGCTGTTGCTGGGCTGGTCAGTTATGTTTATTCATTTATTTATGTATAGACTATACTTAGGTCACTCAAACTACCACTTCTGTTTTTAACACTAACCCAAAAATTTAGACTTAAAACATTTTTTTATTTAAAGCATTAAAAAATTTTTAAGTATGAAAAGAATGACTTGCAATTTGAAGGTTTTAACAAATGTTCACTTCTTATATCATGATATGGTGGAGGTTTTTTATTATGTGACTCGTTCAGAATTTAAATAATATAATTAGAATGTACTGTATTTTAGTATCATCATATGACTTGGTAGTAAATTTGACATGCTTTACTTTTTAAATGAATACATGCTTCTAACTTCCCATCAAATCCATTTAGTTAAGAAAGATAACCAACAATTAATAGATCATGTAGGATCAATCATAAGGTTAAGAAACAATTAATTAATATTAATAAAAACATCACGATCACATGAATCATGTAACATTGTAAGATAAAAATAGTTAAGAAAAGATAATCACATATAGATCGTAAGATAAAAACTGTCCAAGGCATTGAACCAAGCACAAGAAGGTTAGTGTACAATGATAATCTGTTAAACAAACCATTACTGTCAGAAATCGAAGTTTTTCTTTTTATTTATAAATAAAACCAATATTCATTAAAACATTTTGGGGGAGCACTCTGCAGCAGCAACTTCAGCACCAATTTCAACTTCAATTGCAGCTGCAGCTCAAATATATAGACACAACACAATTAAATTCGTAGAACATCGAAATCCTTTTTTGCAAAACTTTTTCCCTATGGTTGGCTCGGTCTAAATAGAGATGCGATCCGCGGATACCCGTCATCCGTTCATCTGTCATTCATCTCTAAAAATCAATCCGTCAACCATTAATTGCTCAAAAAATACATCCGTCGGATTTAAACATATTAATATTATCCGGATTATCCGTAAAATTGAACGGATCATCCGGATTGTATGGATTATCCGCGGTTTGAACGGATAATTCAGCAATATTATTATTAGTTAGAGATGGGCAAATAGCGTATAGTTGAACACTATACGATACTTTACGATACTTTACGTATAGTGTGTTGAAATTTGATTGGGTGATTTTCAAATGTAATACAAAACTGAATAATAAGAAAAAAAGCATAAACCTTTAATTTATTCAACCTACACTTTTTTAAGTTTTATTTATGAATCATTAATTATATTGAATGAATTAAATATCATAAAAATCAAAACTGCTTTCATTTTTATTTGATTCTTCAATAAAATTTTCATCAGCTTCTTTGATGAAATTTTCAATTATGTTGTAATTTATCTGTACACTAGTATTTGAAGTATTAAAATGTTCTCCAAAATAATTTCTTTTAATTTGAATTGTGGCATTTGGACAAAGACATAAATCTTTTTCACATCTAGATATTGAACTAGAACGTTAATATTAAAATGTTGCCAAATTGCAGACAAGTTTAAAATATATATCGTGAGAAGAGTATTAATTATTATTATTTTTTGTGTAACATTACATCTATTATTTGGCAATAAGCATGAACATTAAAAAACTATATGAATCAACTTGTTTTAACCTAAACAACTTTAAAATAATTTCGCCCAATTTCTGCTAATAACAAAAAGTAGTTTGGGTTTATAAAAAAATAATTTTTGCCCAAAGTATTTGGGCAATTTTGGCTACTAATAGAAGCAATTTCGGCCAGAAACCTTAGGCTCCAAAAGAATGAAATTTAGACTGATTCAAATAAATATATGAATAAATTAACCCAATGAATCATGATTTGCTTTCAGATCAATATACATTATCTAATAAATTAATTCAATGAAGAATTCATTGAAGCACAATTTCCACATATGTTCCATCCTATAAAAAATTATGTATGGAACAGATGGTGAATAAGTACTGAATACATGTAGACACAGTGGAGAGTAGATGTTTTCTGTATTAAAATGCTTTTTCGTATAGAATGGGCCTGGACAATAGAAAGGACAATAACATGAAAAAAAGGCAACTTTGACCACTTTTATATGTAACCCTTATGTAGAAAGTTTTTAGCTACCCAATTTGCATAGCAACATTTTGAGATATTGTTCTTTAAAGTTCAAAAACAATAGTAAACTCCTTGAAATGTATTCACATTATGGTCCTTTTTTATTTTCCAGATCAAAAATATCTCACTAGTTCCATATTTTTAGGTAAGAAAAGTGCATTTCTCCATATGTATTTTATATCAAATGTGTTTTTCTACATTCCATATCAAAATATGTTTTTTCCATATGTATTCATTTCACATCTATTCAGTACTAGTTAGCACCTATTCTGTGCATAATTTTTATATATAGGTGAATGGATTTTGCCTTATTCTAGTATAAGCATATAAATTCTTAAAATATAATAATAATATCAATTTAAAAATCTGGTTTGATTCAAATCAAATCAAATCCAGTTTTTTTAAATTTGAAGTTCAACTTGTTCAGAGCTTTATATATACCTTTAATTTTGATCTTATATCTTTTCCACTAATTCACATCCATTTCTCTTCTCTTCATAATCAATTCAGCCTTTGAACCAGATTCCTTATTTATATCTTACCTTTACTAGGCAATGGAATAGTCCATTCTACTTTAACTGAAATTTATGGATTTGACTTTATAGATTATTCTAGCATTTTAGAATTAGTCCATACTAGTATTTATGGTCCAGAATAATTTGTTTATACAAAGAAGTGACTGAGAGAGTTAGATTTCTTTAACATCACTACCATACATGCAGCCCAAAGTATTTTGACACTGTCATAAATGGGGTTACATGTGTCGTAAAGGGGTATTACACCTATGTTTTTAATGGTGAGTGCCATAATTAATTTCTACTTTCTTCCATCAAAATTGAAATAATTTTGACCATTGAAATCACCAAACCAATTTGGGCTGTATGTATAATCACTACATTCTGCTCCAATATGACACTTATAGTCAGGCTGATTTTCATACTAAATTCCTTTTTCTTGATATTAATTAATTTTTTCAATATAAAATATAAAAATAAAGTTCACTCTCTATAATGAACTATAAATATTTTTTGTGCCTTCATTCACTATAATAATGTTCATTATATAGAGAAATTAATCATAGCAAAGAGAAGTTTGTTGTGGTTGAGTTTTACCATGGAAGGCCTGTTATAGATAGGGAGAGTGTAATATGTATGTTTTTTCGGAATCATATATTTTTTAGTGGTAATATATAAGGAACGAAAATTAATAATGTTTTTCTTTTAAAATTTATTTGTCATGTGATAAATTTTTGCAAGGATCATTTCCATATTAGGAAAAAATAGACAATAAAATTGTTATGTTGTGTGTAATGCAACATTAAAAAAAATTTCAAAACATTCCTTTATTTTTTATTTTCGGCACAAGTTGCTTGTACTGTTGATTTATTCTTGGAGATTTTATGAAAAAGTCCAGGATGTTAATATGGTTGCTTGCCAAAACTCCTCTGGAAATCAGTTGGCAGAGTTTCAGCAGGTAACACACTAATTGTTTGTTAGAGTTTCAGCAGAGTTTCACATTTAGGGATTTCAACAATTAGCAGAGTTTTGGCAGGTTACACACTAATTGTTTATTAGAATTTCGGCAGAGTTTCAGCAGTCATTAAGAGGTTTCAGCAAGCAACCTTAGATGTTAATGGGTGGAACTTATTCCTGGTTGATATGAAGTATAGCAATATAATTACCCCACATAATTTTGAAAAAGTCTATTTTTTGGTACAAGTCAGCTAACTTGCATGATTTCATCTTCAAAGAGTTTATGAGAAAGTCCAGAACTGCAAAAAGGTGGCACCAGTCCTGGTTATAGCGAAGTATAGTAGTACAATTACCCTTCATAAATTCAGAAAGTTGGAAGTTTCTTTATTCAGGATGCTGAGAATACAATGGCAAGTAGTGAAATCCGTCCCTTGTTTGCTTGCCCCTATACAGGTATGCAATAGAGTTGGAATTGACAAGACATCTTGTCAGTTAGGTGTTGAGGAGTTGGTTTTGATTTTATGTATGCTCTGGGGAACTGGGAAATGTGTGATGACAAAATTTATTATGTCAAAGGAAATTTCAAAATTTTGTATTCTATATATTTCCACGTACAAACAGTGTTTAGGATAGTCAGCACATTATATATAAATTATATATAATACTTATATTAGATTAACACAATTTTGATGAAAATTAATCTAATGCACAGCTTTTTTAAAAGTTTTCGAAAATAAAATCAACATTACTTGCAGCATCAAGTGGTAATCAACTGATAATATGTTCATCCATTTATACCACTTACAATACACAGGAAATTAATGGTGGGAATATTATAAGTGTTGATTGTTAACTTTAAATTTTATTTATGCATGGTCTTGGTATTATTTATTTATTGAGGTTATGCAATTGTTTGTTATATCAAATTCATTGCATAGTTGTCATGAATATTGTAATGGGCATGATACATTATTGAAGACAAAGATGTTCACATTCAAGGAAAAGATTAAATAACAACAAAAAGGTAAGAATGTTTGTTTATTTTGATCAACTAAAGAGAAAATATAATGATTTTAATTGCATTTATAAATATTAAAATATAAAGGTTACTTATTCATGGCAGTATATGGTATAGAAGACGAAAGACTGCCAGAACAATCAATTGCAAGGGAAGCCATTGGTGAGTATTACCTATCTTTGATCACTCTATCCTGTATTTTCATTATTCTTTCTTTATTGATTCTCTATTATTTTCTGATATACAGTTCATGGATCTTTCTATAATAGACCTTGCTTATAATGGATTGAAAATTTAAGCCCAATTTATATGTCCCATTTCCATTCCACCAAATAAAACATTTGGATACAACTCTCTTTTTTACCAAACTATTTTAAATTTCTCTTGGGTATTTTAATCACAGAAAATTCACTTGTGAAGGTAAGCATTTTTGTTAAGTGTTTAATTGTGGTTTTATTTCTTAAATCAGTAACAAAACCATTGCCTCCATCCATTAATACATTACCATTGGTGTAAATTCATTTTACAAGATAAATTGGAACTTCTAGTGATAATTTCTAAAAGTTCTAGAGATTAGTTCATGAAAAAAGCAGAAGAAGGTATGAACAGAGATGTTTAATCAAGTCATCTAATTTATAATAACAACACTTAGCATTATCCAATGTCTGATATGTTTATTTATAACGAAATTGTTACTGATTAAAGGTGACAATAAAACAATGAATCAAACTGAGTAGGTAATTATTTATTAACAAATGATTTGAGAATTATATAAATAAATTTTTTTTTATTTAAAAAAAAAGGAGAATATGACATATATAGAAGAGAAGAAATTTCAATGAAATGGAATTGTGCAAATAGAAAAAAAATACTTGATTGTAAAGAATTAATCTTCTACTTTATTAATAATCCAGTTTTTCATACATAAACATGCTCTTGCAGTCTCTGCCAACAATTTCAAGTTTCACGAATTTTATTTCCGGCAATTGAGAATGCCTGTTCTGGTACAACACTACAGTAAGACCTTGTGTCATATTACTTGCAATCAGGTATTTTTGACATGTGCCTGCTACATAATAGATGTCTTGTTTTTTCATCTATCTGTAATACAAGATAAACAATCTAATACCAATACTAAACAATTCGTGGTAATTGTTGGATTACATCAAAGTTGTATGAAAATCAACAAGTTGCATTTGTGGTAGCTGATGATAATATTCTTGCAGGAAATTGTGCATCGGAAGAGAAATTGATTTTAATAATGATAATGGTGGCGATAGTAGTAGCTGTATATCACACAATCGTATCCATTAGCATATCATGCAAGTAGAATATTAGCTAGTGAAAACCCCTTAAATGTTGATTAATCTACTATTATCAACGACTGTTTAACTGTTTTATATAAATGAAAAGAATCAACGAAGTTAGTGCATTCATTAAAAATTCATTACTTAAACCATTTTTTTTTTGTCTTGAAAATAATAATTTCAAAAATTTCATATTTTGATAAATTTTTAAAGTACACATTATCATCATCACCTTCTACAGTTGGTACACGATACAATGATAGATTTTTATATTTAAATGGAAAATTTCACATCAGCTACATAGTGTTCGAGTACCAAATGCACTATGGATCTATTATCCAAACTCTTATTTTTTAAATAATCAAATTCAAGCATTTAATTAATATTTTGTTAGTGATTATTACTAATGATGCTTTTAATTCTATTTGCAATCCTTGCAAAGATAAAAAATAATAGTACATGAATTACTTATCACCTAAATACGTTAGTGAAATTCCACGTTTCTATATTTTTAAAATACCCGTAAAAGCGTAACTTAAGGTAAATAATAATAATCAGTAGAAAAATGATCGGAAAATTATTTATATTTGTTTTTGTGCAATTAATCGTTTTATATTAAAAAAATGGAAATAATACTCGAAGCAGAGAAATTTGATTTATTTTGTCATATCATCCCAACCACTTTTACCAGAGTCAAAATTAATCATTCTGGCCACTTTTATTAACATCCAATTCACTGTTACCAGGGTCAAAGTCTTTTAATTCACCAATCATATCTAAGGAACCAGAACCATAATTGTCTATAAGAACTTTGTCATTTTGGCACTTTGTTTAACCCATGTTTGCCTTCTGCGTTTCTCTTTGTTTGATTTTTTTTATTTTTTTATTTTTCGATCAATTATATAATCAAGTATGATTTATATATACATCAGAGCTGGCCGCGTAACCATAAGGTTTAGTCAACTAAAGTGCCAAGTCTTTTTCATATAATTTGACGTAATGACTCACCGACTTAACTTTTGTCACAAAAAAAATTTTTTTATCCTTTTTGCTCAACAAAATTAAATTCTAATTCCTTACTTTTCCATATTTCCATATCATTACTCCATTGAACGTATAACATTAACTTATTTTTTACAAATTAATATGACCATAACGTTTGCCGTACATACATCAGTTATCATTATTATTATCGTCTCAAAATCATCACAGTACTTTTTTTACATTATTATTATTATTATTATTATTAGCAGCAGTAATATTAGTAGTAATAGGAGTAGCGATAAAAATTTTTTTTATTAAGATATTTTTTTTTAAAACTATGGCATTTTATAACATGTAAACAAACTAGTATAAATATTTCTGACAACTCGGAATCCACGGCAATAATTCGATTAATATTAATATTAGGAAATCCGTTTTATCTACAGATTTTTTAGTATGGGCTGGCTAATTCAGAATTTATTTCTGATGATAAATAGTTTATCAATTGAATCTATCAATATAATTCCCAAGATATAACTAGTCCATTTGCAGAAAGTGTGATGAATATATCGAAAAGTTGATAGAGTGTCATAATAAAATAATTAAAAAAAACAATAATCATTACTATAATTAGGAGTTGATTAAATTTTTTTTTTATTGACCAAAATTCTTCACGTGATAGAATGATTGCCATCCGAATATTTGAACATTTTTGTATCACAAAAATTGGAATCTCGATTTAGCGGATAGTTTCCAAAAATTCGTTAAAACCGAGATATCCGTTATATCAAGAAGGTTTTTTATTAATTAAGGTGTTCTTTGAACTTTATCCGTAAAACCGAGATTTTTAATTAGTATCCGCTAAATCGAGATTCATTGTGTAATCGATATATGAATGAGAGAAATGTTGATCGTTTCTATATATAGTAATTTGTGAGATATACGAAAAAATCTACAGGTGCTACATAAAGTTTTTTATTTTCTGATTAAAAATCAAAAAAAAATTGTATCAATATATTCTTTGATGTTTATTCCATCTTATAAAATAAAGTGATATAAATTTGAGGCACAAAAGCATAATGAGTGCTATTTTCTCGTAAAAGATCATAAAGTAAAATTTTTTAATAGTAAAATCAGTACTTTTAGATTTTTGTCGATCATTTTGATATGAAATCTCCATCATTTTTTTACTATATATATATATGTACGACATATTCATTTATTCGCGGATTATCAATTAACTCTTTACAATCATAGATATTGAGAAATGAAAATTTGAAATTACTACATTCGTGATCCTTTAAAGAAGGAAGGATCTTTAATAATGACCGGTGGGATGCATCTTTAATAAAATCCAAAGAATTCATTGTTATAACATTATATTGCATTTATACTTGATAAAATAGATCGTTGAATATTAACAAACAGACAGGCGTACTTATTATATTTTCTTGTGCCATCAAGGTCTCTCCTTCTTGAACACGAATGTGCCGATAAAAAACTTTGTATTATGTTATTTTCCTTCTTTATTTCGTGTAACATTTTGTAAAATTGGCATTGTTCCCATTTTTTAATATAAATGGGGATGTTTTTATCTTTGCAAGAATTATAATAACGCCTTCAATTGTTGAGCCCGTGATAATAACAAAAGAATTCGATATTCTCTAAAATTTGGTCACATTCTTGTACAGTTTAATTGCGTAAAAGTCGCCGAACAGGCCTATTTAATCCTATATTAGATATTAAGATAAATAAAACTACATTTCTATAATACTAACTAATATTGATAATTGTTAAATTATGTTACGCAAATACCATTTTTAAGAACTAAAAATTTATCGGGAACCTATAAAAAAAAAGTTTACGAGTTCAATGAAAGAGCTGATCCCACCTGATGTACAAGTTGGTGTACAATCACGCGATTTCAGCATGCTTATTTTTTTAGTTTATTTTGATCTCAGGTAATCATTTATTTGTGCATGGTTCAAGTAAATTTTGTTTCTTTGAACTATTAGAATAATTAAAACGGCAGGAAAAGATTTGATAATGTCCTTTTATCTGTTGTAACAAAACCAATCAAACCAATGGTTTATATCGATTCTGTTGCATCTAAAAACATCATGAGATTGTTTAATAATTTCAATACCTTTTTCAATTCATTACTATGAATAACAAAATAAAGCTCAAAGGAAAAAATTCATAATTAAGAGGCACAAATTTTATGAATTACAACACACAATTGCCCCGAAATGTATTATATAAGAAAATGAAAAATATCCAAATATATAAGTTCGAAAAAAATAATTATTCTGAATTCAAACATGCATTAGTAAGTATTAGTATTATTGTTATTATTATTGATAATGCTAAAGATATGAGAAATAATAAATAATATTGATTTGTGTTACTTTACATATGGCTCACACACACATACATACAACTATGTTAAAAACTTGTTATTATTATAATATTAGTAATATAAATAAATGTTCTCTTGTGTGTTTTTTTGTACAGCCCCATTTTAGTATTAAAATTAATTCGATAGTTGGCCAAAATAGAATTTAACCTACTACCCCTTGTTATCCTTGTTATCAGTTAATAGAAAAAAAATTAATTAAAGAAACAATTTTTTGTCAATAATAAATATTTATTTATTATTTGTTATTATTTTTATTATTTTAGAATTCTAAATTCATTGATTCGTTACAGTTATATTTTAAGCCACCTCAACTTTTTTATTTGTTTTGCCACTAGCGCATAAACAAACAAAAACACCGAACTCATGAAGAGGATGTCTAATATGTCAAATATTTCAGAAGCTAACTTACCGTTAACTTCTAACATAGCGTATAACACATCGCCCGAAATGAATCCTAGTGATGACGCTAATATATTACCCACCAAAGAAACCTATACTATCGCCACTAATAATAAAAACGACGAGGATAAAGTTGGACGTATAATTTACCTCAACGATCCCGCTCGTAATCAACCCGCAAAATATATACATAACAGAATTTCAACCGCAAAATACAATTTTTTAACCTTTTTACCGAAATTTTTATACGAGCAGTTTTCAAAATACGCAAATTTATTTTTCTTATTTACAGGTATTATTAATTTGATATCTAATTATGTCTAATTATATTTATTTTATATGTTTAAATTATTCATTTATTACTTTCAAATTAGCATGTATTCAGGTAGAGTAAAACAATCTTTATTTACATCAATTCCTCAACAATTGTATCCTAGAGCCATTATGATGATGATGATATTTACATTAGGGTTTAGATAATTCTATCAGCATTAAAAATTTTTTATTTCATATTCAATAGCAAATTAGAGACGTGTCTCCAACAAATCAATTTACCACCCTTATCACTTTAGTTGTGGTGCTGTCTGCAACTGCATTCAAAGAAGTAATTGAAGATTATGTAAGTCATCATATATAAAATCTCTTTTTTTTTTTTTTTTTTTTATAAAAATAAAAATAAAAAATTCACTTATTCTGTACTTGTCAAAAGAAACGACATCGTTCTGACGGAGAAGTCAATCAAAGAAAATGCCAAACTCTTTCGGGAATGGCTTTTATTGAGAAAGAATGGAATGGAATTAAAGTTGGTGATATTGTTCGTGTTGAAGGTGGAGATTTTTTGCCTGCTGATTTGGTGCTATTGAGTAGCTCAGAACCAGAAGGTTTATGTTACATTGAAACAAGTAATTTGGATGGGTTAGTTTGTTTATCTACTATTAAAAAACAAACATTCTTATTCGTCAGATTGATAATATGTATACCTTACTGAAAGAAACTTTAAAATCTTTATTTTTAAGTGAAACAAATCTAAAAATTAAGCAGGCAACAACTGAAACTGCAATTCTTGTTACACCGCAACAAATAAGTCAATTAAATGGTCAGTGAAGTATATATACATATACATACACATATATATATTTCCTAAATTATTGCCAAAAACTAACGAGATTTTTTAATGATAAAAAAAAAAAAGGTTACATTAAATCTGAAAGTCCAAATAACAGTTTATATACATATGATGGTATATTAATCATGAACGGACCAAATGGAAGTAAACAAGTTCCTTTGGATCCTACACAGTTATTACTTAGAGTATGTAATTGATTAAATTATTAATTTGATAGTATTTTTTTAAACAATTAGTTATTAATTAAAATTTTATAGGGTGCACAATTAAAAAACACGCCTTGGATATATGGTGTTGTTATTTTTACTGGCCATGAAACTAAATTGATGAGAAATGCTAGGTAGCAATTTCCCTTTTTTTAAAAAAAATTCTCTGTTATTTTATCTTATTATTATTTAAATACCAATATTTAGTTTTGACAAATTGAAATTTTTTTCATTATATTATTTAAAAGTGCTACCCCAATTAAAAGAACCAGTGTTGAAAAAATGGTTAACATTCAAATTATCTTTTTATTTGGAATTTTATTAACAATGAGTTTAGCATGTTCAATAGGAAGTGCTGCAAGGACAGTAAGTTAACTTATTTTTTTTTATCTCAAATCTTTTAATTTTATATATCTGCATCTATATTTATTTATATATGTATTATTTATTTATTTATTTATTTATTTATTTATTTATTTATTTATTAGATAAAATTTGGTTCTGAAATGTCTTACTTGCAGCTTTTAGCAACGGGTAGTTTATTGAGTCAATTTGGATTTAATATTTTAACATTTTTGATTTTGTTTAATAATTTGATCCCAATTAGGTATTCATGATGTTGTTATATTATCATCATTATCAACACTATGATCATTGTGAAATTAACGAAACTAATTTATTTGTTTATTTACAGTTTGATTGTTACTATGGAAGTTGTAAAATTTCAACAAGCGGCCTTAATTAATTCTGATTTAGATATGTACTATGAAAAGACAGACACACCTGCTTTATGTAGAACTAGTAGTTTGGTAGAAGAATTGGGCCAGGTATATACAATATGGCAAAAATATTATTTTATGTAAAAACATATATATGATTTATTAATTACGTGTGTTTTTATTTCTACTAAAAATTTTTGATTCGATGAAAAAATAGATTGATTATATTTTTTCTGATAAAACTGGTACGCTTACTTGTAATGAAATGGAATTTAGACAATGTTCTATTGCTGGACTATCATATTCAGATCATGTGGATGAAGCAAAGCGAGCACATGTTGTTGATGGTGTTGAGGTCGGTTTACATGATTTTAAACAATTAAAAGAGAATTTGAAAAGTCATTCTACTGCAAATGTTATCGATGAATTCTTTACACTTTTAGCAGTATGCCATACTGTTATTCCAGAGAGAAAAAATAATGATCCAAATGGTATATTGTTATTGTTATTGTTATTGTTATTGTTATAATTGTGAAAAAAAGAACTAAATAGATTGTTATTTAAACTATTATTTTTAATAGATATTGTGTATCAAGCTTCATCACCAGATGAAGGTGCTCTTGTAAAGGGTGCATTAATTTTGGGTTATAAATTCTTGGTAAATTAAAAAAAAAATTTCACATTTCTATAAATTCATTATTTATAAGAAATATTTACAAAGTTTATTATATTTGGTTGATGGTTTATAGACACGTCGTCCTAAATCTGTCACCATTTTGGTTAATGGAAAGGAATTAGAATATGAAATTCTTAGTATTTGTGAATTTAACAGTACACGTAAACGTATGTCAACGATAGTACGTGGTCCAGATGGAAAAATCAAGCTTTATTGTAAAGGAGCTGATACCGTTATTTTAGAACGCTTAGGTAAAGACAATCCTTTTGTTGAACAGACTCTGCATCACCTTGAAGAATATGCAACGGAGGGTCTTCGAACTCTTTGTATTGCTATGCGTGAAATATCTGAAGAGGAATATAATGTCTGGTCTGGAATTTATGATAAAGCTGCTACAACTTTAACCAATCGTCAAGATGAACTTGAAAAAGCAGCTGAAATGATTGAAAAGGACCTTTACCTTTTGGGTGCTACCGCTATTGAAGATAAATTACAAGATGGTGTACCAGAAACTATTAGCACTCTTCAACAAGCTGGTATAAAAATTTGGGTCCTTACTGGTGATAGACAAGAGACTGCTGTTAATATTGGCTTAAGTTGTAAATTGATTCAAGAGGAAATGACTTTAATTTTTGTCAATGAAGAAAGTCACTGGGCTACTAAAGAATTTTTGGAGAAAAAAATCCTTGTAATGAAAGGAAGAGTTAATCCAGAATCTGAAGTAAGAATATGTATCTGTAATTATTTAAATAGTAATATCAAATTTTTAATTAACTAATTATATAATGATTATGCAGCCACTTGCTCTAATTATTGATGGTCGAACACTTGAATTTGCTTTAGAAAAGGATTTGGAAAAAATTTTTCTTGAACTTGCAACTATGTGTAAAGCTGTTGTTTGTTGTCGTGTCTCACCACTTCAAAAAGCATTAGTTGTAAAACTTGTAAAACGTCATCTCAAAGCTATTCTTCTTGCTATTGGTGATGGTGCTAATGATGTTTCAATGATTCAAGCAGCTCATGTTGGTATTGGCATTAGCGGACTCGAAGGGATGCAGGCTGCTCGTAGTGCTGATGTTGCTATTAGTCAGTTTAAATATTTGAAAAAATTACTTTTAGTTCATGGTGCATGGAGTTATCAAAGATTGAGTAAACTCATTTTATATTCATTTTATAAGAATATAACATTATATATGACACAATTTTGGGTAACTAAATAAATTAAATATATATATATATATATTCAAGTTTTTTAAAATAAAATAAAATTACTAATTCATCCATACGTTTGTTTATTCGTTATATATATATATATATAGTTCACTTTTCACAATAGCTTTTCTGGACAAGTAATTTATGAATCTTGGACCATCACCTATTACAATGTTCTTTTTACTGTACTGCCGCCAATGGTTATTGGCGTATTCGATCAATTTGTTAGTGCAAGGATGTTAGATCGATATCCTCAAATGTATATGTTGGGACAAAAAAGTGAATTTGTAAGTTTAAAAAATAAATCTTTTGTAATCAAATATTAAACATTAATTTATATAAAATTATTTATTATCCTTTAGTTCAACGTAAAAAGTTTTTGGGGATGGACAATAAATGCATTTTTTCATTCTTTAGTAAGTTAATTATTATTAAAATTTACGGTTCTTTTTAAAAAATAATATTCTAATTATAGTTTATATATATGTAGATTTTATATTGGACTTCAATATATATTTTTTCTGATGATTTAACTTTAGCAGATGGCAGAATAGCGGGTCATTGGACATGGGGCACAACTTTATATACAGCCGTGTTGGCAACTGTATTAGGAAAGGCAGCATTAATAACAAAGTAAGGAGGGGGTCAATGAGTGTTAGTATTGCATACATATGCACGTACATTTTATATTTACACCTATATATTATATTTATATATATTAGCTTATGGACAAAATATACATATATTGCAATACCTGGCTCATTTGTGTTCTGGATAATATTTATCGCATTATATGGTACAATTGCACCCATGGTAAAGTTTTCGGAAGAATATGAAGGAATAGTCCCAATACTTTTCGCTAGCCCAGTATTTTATCTTACTGTTTTACTGATACCAGTCATCTGTCTTTTAAGAGATATTATTTGGAAATAGTATGTGTATTTTTTCATTTATTATTATTTGTTATTATTTATTTTTGATTCATTTTTAATATTTGCTTATTTATTACACGTGATTAAAAAAAATTAGCGCCAAGCGTATGTATCATACAAGAACCTATCACACAGTGCAAGAAATTCAAAAATTCAATATTCCAGATTATCGACCAAGAATGGAACAATTCCAAAAGGCTATACGAAAAGTTCGCGCTGTTCAAAGATTACGAAAGAGTCGTGGTTTTGCATTTTCACAAAATGAATCTGGCCAAGAATCTAAACTCATTAGAATATATGACACTACTAAAGCAAAACCAATGGGCTAATTTGTGATTTTACTTTATAATAATAAGTTTATATCATTAAAATAATATAATATATATATATATATATATATACACTTTTTTAATTAAAGAATCATATTACTATATATATTTATCTATTATATAAATTGATGTATAAATGATTAATTAGATTTATTTATTACAATATTGTAAAATACTTAAAATACTTTATTTATTATTAATTATTATGGCTAATATCTTTAATCTTAATATATATGTCTTTTTTATTCTTTGTATTTGTATAAAGTGGTAGGTATTCTTTTTTTATCGTGAATGGTTTAATTTGGTTATTATCATCACACTTTCATTATTTTCATTTCATTTCACTATTTTCACAATTATTAAAAGTAATAATACAATGAACACGACTTTACATAAATGTAAACGGACTTTATTTTTTATTTATTTATTTATTTGAACAACAAAATCATGCATTGAATTTTTGAATTGTTTGAACAAAGCCTTTACTTATATCACTTGAATTTAATAATTCTTCATTATCAATTTGCCATTTTATTATTATTTCTTTTGAACCACCTCTTCTTTCAAATTCTTTCAAACATTCATCAATTTCATGTTCTTTATTCGGTAGATGACTTAACTCTAGCGCATAAAATAAATAAGTTTCCAATGAATCTTTATTGATATCTAAAGCTTGTTTATAATAATCCACAGCTTTAATATAACCATTATTAATTCCTTGTTGATGATGTTTTTGATAAAAAGGTAATAATAATGATTCATTCATATGATTTAAATATGCTAACTTTTGAAGTATTGAAATATTCTTTGGTTCAATGAATAAGGCAGATTCAAAAGATTTTATAGAATTTGAATAAAGCTCTATGATCTTTTTTTCTTTCTCATTATCATCACCATTATCGTTTTCTTCAGAACGAGACCTCAATAAATTGTTTGCATAATTTGTTAAAATATCACCACGATCACATAACGCTTCAGCATTCTCTTTATCTAATTCAGTAATAACTTTATCCAATTTTTGAATTGCTTTTTCATAAAGATGTTGTTGCACATTCCCTGTTTCTTGGAAAACACGTTCAGCTTGTGATGAAAAAAGCTCTGCCCATTGAAGTTGTATATTCGTCATCGATTCTGATGATGTTGATGGTTCAACAAAACTTGACGCCTTCTCTAACCTTTTAATTGCTTCCGTGTAATAAGATTCAATCGATTCGTGATCACTAATAATAGAACCCAAGAATACAAGAGCTTTTGAATTAGCAATTAAAGTATCTATAATGGTCGATTTTGTCACTGGAATTATTTCTGTAATTGTCTCGGTCTCTGTTGATCCTTTTAAATTTTCATTGCCACCTCCACCAACATCTGTGGCTGTTGCCGCTGCTGTTGCCGCTGCTGACAATGATGATTCAACTATACTACCATCACCACCATTATTATTAGTATCATCATGTTCCTCAATGCCACAATTATTCTCTTCTAATTCTTTAATTTGTAAAACATAAACTCGATCGAATGCTTGTATGGCCTCTTTTAACAGATCAGCAGCCTTATAAGTTTCATCTTGATCTTCTATAAATTCTGCTTTAGTTGTTAATGCCTGTGCTAAATTAAATAAAGCATCAGCATTATTGGCATCTATACTCAACGCTTTTCTAAATTTATCAATTGATTCATCAAGAAGATCTAATTTTTGTGTAATAGTAACGTCGACATTATTGTGAGATGCGAAATCAACAAGAATATAAAGTACACGTCCCCTTATTTTAAAAAAAAATTTTTTTTTTATTTTTATTATAAAAAAGAATTTTATTTATAGATAGGTTTTAAAAAATTATATTTTACCAATTGTATAAGCTATCAGCATCGTTTGGATTTTTCTCGTGAGCATTTTTGTACATTTCGATTGCACGTTCATAAAATCTTTTTGCCTTTTCATCTCTCCCATATCTTTCTCCTATATTGATTGTTTAACAATTTCTTTTTGATTTAATTAAAAAATTATCAAGATCGCCGATAAATAATCTTGTAAATTTTCTAAGTAATACCTTGCTCTTCTAATTTAACTCCCTCTTATTCAATAATTTAAAAAAAAAAAAATCAAATAAATATATTTTTTTTTTTATGAATTATTAAAATGTCATATAATAAATGGTAAACAACCTTTCATTAATTCCTCATAAGAAGAATCTACTACAGTAGTATTGGTTTTTTTTCCTTTTTTCTGTGAATTGTTTTCCTCATATTCTTTGTTTTTGCCCTTTTTACCTTTTGTCATTTTTTTATTTTTGATTTTTAATCATTTATTTGTGTGCAGTGTATAAAACGCAAATAGTACAAACTTGGAAACTATCTGCATTAATATTAATTACTAAGCATCGTGTATAAAAATAAAATTATTTATAAGTTAAACAAGGTATATTTTTTACATTTTACTATTTTTAATTTTATTCCGATAAGATAATCATTTGAGGATCCCATGACATTATGAATCTCATCAAGCCTTTTTTTCGAATTACGGGAAGAATGACACAGTCATCTTTTGTTATTGTTACCATTTTAGTGCCACCAAGTAACTCAAAAATTTAATTAACCTCTAAACGCGCCAAGGATTCACTTAATTCTTGAGTTGTAATTTTAGGATTCATTAACATTGAGTCAGTTATAAAAGGAGCAAAAGGAGGATCCTTTTGTTATAATTAATAAGTACTTTCAAGGCAAATAATTATGTAAAATAAAACAAATTGGATTTTTACCATTTTATGAAAGAAATTTTGGAATTGGTATTGTTCTTTGAAAAATAACAATTTTTTTTTATATTGTAAAAGTTTATTTCGAGTAAATGGACAATTACACAAACAGTGTATAATTACTTATCCCCTGGCTGGTAACAGATATAACAAGATTTTACAACCTGTTATCTCACTCATCCTATAGTGCGCGAAGTCTGTAACCACCGTTTATTACGCCACACTACCAAACTCATTCAAAAAATGATATTTTTTTTTGATAAAAATTTATAAAGTCATGTGATTTTTGAAATTTCTTTATTATCAATAACATGCTTGGAATTTTTCTATGAGATTTGTATTTCTTTATTGGATATAAAGCTTCTAAGCCTGTCAATCCATTTCTATAAGCATCCATAAATCTCCAAGGCTAGTATTTTCAATTTCATCATAATCAGATTCTTATCATCATCAGTTTTTGTGCAAAATCATATGTGAGAGTATTTTGAATAAATGAATTGTTTTTTGCAAGTATAGCTTCTTTAAGTTGAGAATTTCTTTTTTTTTTGGCGGCATAATCAGTGTCTGAAATTCAGTGCGGGGGTTTGTGATACATTAAAGATACCCAATAATCTCTTAGCAGGATTTGTGCAGAAAAATTTCGTGTAACTGAATTTAAATAAAGTAAAATAAAATACTTTTATTATTTTTGGTTAATAAATAAATAAACATTGGGATTTAATTCTATTTTTTTTAAAATAAAAATAAACAAAATACTATTGTTTTTTCAATTTTTGTTAACAATAAATCATTAATGTTTTTGGGTTTAATTATATTTTAAAAGTAAATAAAAATAAATAAAATGGTTTTATTTTTCTATTTTTAACAATAAATATTGATGTTTAATTCTAATTTTTTCTTTATCATCCTAAAATAATTAATTCATTTTTATTAACAATATAATTGATTCTGTTAAAGTAGTATAAATACAAGATGTTTTTGAAAATTTAGTATTTCAAATAAATTAAAAAAGAACAAATTTTATTACAATTGATTCATTTAAAAATGTATAATCAATCAACACATCATAGACAACATGTTAACAGAGATTTATTTTTTTTGTGATTACACATGGTTAGAATGTGAAGAAAATGAAAAATATAGTCCTTTTTTTTTGTAAACTTTGCAGAAAAGTAGAAATGGAAGTACAAAATTTGCAATAGGTACAACAGATTTAAGCCTAGAAGGAATTAAAAGACATTTAAAAACCAGTGAACATGAAGTGTCAGAATCACAACTTCGAAATGAATTAAATAAAAAACAATTAACAATTATTTCATTAATTAGAAATGTTTATTTTCTATCTAAACAAAAATCTTTCCTTAAATATTTATCCTGACCTATGTAAATTAACAACATTACAGTCTGAGAATAATAGTCAATTAGTAACTATTGAAAAAACTTATACTCTAAAACCTGCTGGTTTAGGAAGTACACCTACTCCTAAATCAATATATGGAAGCTATACAAATCCTAATTCTGCTCATGATTTTTTGGATAGTATAGCTTCTGTAATAAAGAAATCACTCTTTGAGGAATTGAATTCCTCAATCTATTGGAGTATAATGATTGATGAAGCTAACAGCATTGACAATAGTAAATATTTAGCAATTGTGGGAAAATATATTGTTAATAACATTCCCTATATGAGATATTTGGGCATGATCAATCTAGAATCTACCACTGCAGAAAATATTTATAGTCAAATCTTATTATTTTGTACTTCAAATGAAATATCATATAACAAGATAATTCATTTTGGAAGCGATGGAGCTTCTAATATGAGAGGAAATCAAACTGGTGTTGCTACAAGATTAAAATAAATCAATCCTTTTATGTCCTCAATTCATTGTATATCACATCGACTTCATTTAGCTGGAAAAGATGCTTCAGATGAAATAGAATATTTTCAAGAATATGAAAAAATATTACGAAATTTATATTTGTATTTTTCTAAATCACATAAAAGGCAAGACTTACTGAAATTGATGCAGGAAATTAATGATGAACCAACACTTAAAGTATTGAAATTATGTGAGATTTGGTGGTTATCATTATCAAATTCTGTGCATAATTTACATCAAATTATGAATTCAGTACTTGCTGCTTTAAATGAAGATATGTTAGATGGAGATAAGCATGCAAATGTTTTACTTGGACAATTGGATCATAACTTTATTACTGCAACAATGTTTCTCACTGATTTAACAAATATTCTGAAAAAATTAATAAAAATATTTCAATTAGATAATCTATCTTTATCACAATACAACCAAGCATTGATGCTACAACTAAAGAGATAACAGTAGAATTTATAGGTGATGGAGAAGTTCCACCAAGTTATGGCATAATATTCAAAAATTATTTAGAACAAAACAATTGTCCAGTACCTTCATTTGTTAAAGATTACTCACTAGCAATGATAAAGGCCATCAATAATAGATTCCCTGATTCTGAACTATTTTCTTCATTTAAAATTTTTGATCCAAATGAACTTCCTGATACTGATAGTGATTTAGACTGTATGGTCAGAAAGAGATAGAGTTTTTGGATAAGTTTTACGGAGATAGTAAATTGATGTATGATGAAATAATTGAAAAAGGAAAACTAATAGAAGAATGGAACACTCTAAAATTTTATCTAAAATCTTACAAAAATATGCAAGTGAATTTTGTTGAATCATGGAAATATATTTTAGATATAGATGATAGTTTTTTTTTCAATTATCCAAATTCAATGATTATTGTTAAAATAATACTTCTTATACCTTTTTCTAATGCACATGTGGAAAGAATATTCTCAGAAATGAAGTTGATAAAGAATAAATTGAGAAACCAAATGCATATAAATACATTGAATAACCATTTAATGATTTTATTAAATGGGCCAGATACCCAAGATTTTGATTTTAGAAAAGCATATGAACATTGGATAAATAAAAAAGAGAGAAAATAGTTTTTATTAATTGTAAAGCTTAAAAAAATTTTTTTTAATTAAAAACATTAAAATAATAATTTTTTTTATTTTATGTCAATATATTAATATTATCAAATAAATTTATATTTAAAGATGTGCGCATTTTTTATGTAACACAAACCCCGCACTCAATTTCAGACACTGGGCATAATCAAATAGTTTTTATAAATATTTTTGATGTGGTGATTTTTTAGTTACGCAATACCAAATTTAGAAATGATAATTGTAGACTATCCTAAATTTAGACAAACATGTTGCTGCCAAATCATCTTGAACATGTACTAAAAAGGAATAGAACTCAATAAACCAATCAATATTTTGAAAAAATCCCTCTGTTACCTGTTGTATGTGAAATTGGGATTATGTGAAATCGAAATTTATAATTAAAATTTTGGGGTTGGGTGTTTGGATATGAAATTCTGATTGGCTAATTTGAATTTCACATACGTGAATTGCAAATTCACATAGACTTCATTTTCACGATAAAGTTTGAGTCTTAATCTATGCAATAACAGAGTTATTTTTTAAAAAGGATCGACATAAACAGACTATTCTTTTACAAATCACGTGCAAAAATGTTGATTATAGACTTCGCGCACCATAGTAAAATTCTTATTATACCTGTACCACCCAAAGTAATTGTTTGTGTAATTTCCAGTGTAGAGTTGAGAGGACATTGGGTAATTATAAATGAACTATCATCACATTATGTTGTGGAGCTTTACACAATACCTAACCACATGTTCATCAAAGTCAATGCCACCCAACAACATAGTAAAATATGTTTCTTTTAATGAAGGAAATCTTTTGACACCAAAATTATAAATCTATATATTGACTAGAACTTGAGATAAGGCCGTGTAACAAGACAAAATTTCCATTTTTACTTCCATAAGGACTGTTTTTACCCCCATTAAGGAAGTTACACGTAATATATAAAGTAAAAAGTCACTTAGTCCCACAACTTTTTATTGGTCGTGTAGATTTTCAAATTCTCCAAAAATGGAAATGCAACACCCAAAATAAATCGTGTATTTGAAGCCAAGACCTTCCTCTACAAAATCACGATTTCACCTCATTGATATGTCATGTTGTTGTGGAGGATTTGAGCTTCAAAGTTGCACAAGTTTACTGAATTTACTATGTTTAACCCTAAAATGGCGTGTTACACAAAAAAGTTTATCAAAAATAGATGAATTGAAACAAAATAAAAATTCTCTATATTACAGATCTTTTGTCACGTGAATTTTCCAGATGAACGGAAGAGAATTGTCTTTATTATTAAAAAAAAAATACAAAGAACAGCTAAGTTCATTTATTTTAAATCTAATAAATAGACTATTGCATTAATCAAAGAAATATGCAATTTGCAAAATATTCTAATGAATGTTTATCAATTATTTAATAGTTTGTGTAGGAGTAATCAAAGTAAGCTTTAAGGACAAGCAAGATCTATGAACAAAATATACTAACAAAGGTTTTATCAATCATTCAATAGTTTATATAAATTTCTCTTTTATTTCAATAATATCACTATAATCATTATTGTTGTTTATTGTTCTAATCATCATTTACATATGTATATATAGGAATAAATACAAAAGAAAATTTTTTAATATATTTAATTAGCACTTGACAATTTTCAAAAATCATGTGACTGTAAAATTTTTATTGCATTTTTGATTGGAAATTTTTTCTCAAAATTGGCGGCGTGGCACAGAAAGTTGTGACTTGCACTATAACACTATCAAACTTTTTTTTAATCCATTTTTTTAAAGATAATAAAAAACTAGATGTCCTGACAAAATTTCATGCCCATAGCTTTCCAGGATGACAGATTTTTGCTGTGGGATGATAGTTCATTTATAATTACCAGGTGTCCTGAATTGAGTATATATATAATTGAGTGTGGAGTTACATAATAAATGCATGCGTTTTATTGATCACTAAAAATAACTTTATTATGTACTAATATAAAACTCAATCTGTATCAGTAAAGTCGGTTCTGTTCTTGTTTTCTTGTTACATAATCGAATAATTTTTATTGGCTGATCAGAAGGGAAATGATTTCCGAAAAAACATTTGAATAACAAGCAAAAACAAATTTAAAATTGTCAGAAGGAATAGAACACCTCTGGTGACACGGTGTATGGTTTTTCCTTTTTCATTTGAATCACTCACAAAAGTTTATAACCTTTTGATTGGGTGGGAAAATTTTCCATCAATAAAAATTTTGTACCGTATCACGTGACTTGATATATATATGTCATGTGATTTCATTTAGTGACGAACTTCTCTCTTTCTACATACTAATAGCTCACCAAAATCCATTTTCAGCTATTAATTGTTAGAGGCAGTGCACAAAATTCTTTGTGCTGAGGATTTCCGGCAAATCTTTCAAGAGTTATGTCATAAGTTGTAGTTTGGTAATACATCTATACTCTTGGTTGAAAGTAAATTTGTGAATTGTAATTGTTATAACTAATGTGATCAACAAATATCGGAGGCAAGTTTTGATGGGAGGTAAGTGTTAAAGGAAAGATGCACAAAGCAAGTTTTGTAAAATATACTAAAAGGTGGATTTATTTAAGCGAAAAACATATGCAAGCTAATATTTCATTTTTTTATTAATGAACATTCTGATATATTTCCTAGTTTATTAAATTGATTAAATAGTATATAGTATTCTGTATGAGGGGTTTCTCGTCAAAATATGAGAAATTCATTGAATACAGAAATTAGATATAATGATATGAGTATTTTTGGAAAGTCCACCAAATAAAGAAATGAAAAATAATTTTTTCCAGAAATCTTTCTATTGTCATAAATCAGAGCCTAATTAAAATTAATATAGTTGGCTCGGTCTAAAGACCTCCTAAATTTTGGGCAAATTTTAAAAGTATAGAAGTCACTTTCTGTCCTACCTTTTAAAATAATAGTTCTGCAAATGTTTTACTTGGACAATTGGATCATAACTTTATTACTGCAACAATGTTTCTCACTGATTTAACAAATATTCTGAAAAAATTAATAAAAATATTTCAATTAGATAATCTATCTTTATCACAATACAACCAAGCATTGATGCTACAACTAAAGAGATAATAGTAGAATTTATAGGTGATGGAGAAGTTCCACCAAGTTATGGCATAATATTCAAAAATTATTTAGAACAAAACAATTGTCCAGTACCTTCATTTGTTAAAGATTACTCACTAGCAATGATAAAGGCCATCAATAATAGATTCCTTGATTCTGAACTATTTTCTTCATTTAAAATTTTTGATCCAAATGAACTTCCTGATACTGATAGTGATTTAGATCTGTATGGTCAGAAAGAGATAGAGTTTTTGGATAAGTTTTACAGAGACAGTTAATTGATGTATGATGAAATAATTGAAAAAGGAAAACTAATAGAAGAATGGAACACTTTAAAATTTTATCTAAAATCTTACAAAAATATGCAAGTGAATTTTGTTGAATCATGGAAATATATTTTAGATATAGATGATAGTTTTTTTTTCAATTATCCAAATTCAATGATTATTGTTAAAATAATACTTCTTATACCTTTTTCTCATG